ATATTAAACAAAGATCTTCATCTTAGATAAGAGAATATTTATAATATTTATATTTTACACATGGGCACCATAAAGTCGTTTCGGTAAATTGATGTCGGTCCGGTGTCTGGTGAAGAGGATTCCTGTCTCTGCGAGCCGACCTCTACCACTTTACCGTCGTTGTCCTTTAATGGTATTTGTGGCACATTTTTATTGATGCACTGAACTCTTCGAAGTGATTAAGTGTGGCATCCACTCTTATTTGTGTGGGTGCCACTTGGCTCTCCCTGACAACAACAGGGCGCTTTCGCTTTTGCTTTTGCTTTGCTTTTGCTGCTGTGCAGGATTAAACGAGGACCAACAAGGACTAACGCTTGGTCAGCATAAATTAATTACATTTGTGTGTGTCTCTGCAACACAGGCAGACATGAAGCGACAGTTAAGGCGGACAATGTCAAGTGTTGAATATCATGTGCTGTGACCGAAACGACGAGCGAGTGTGCGAATGTGTTTATGGTCTACTTTGTAGTAAACTATGCATAGCCATCAAGTGAGCTTGAGCTATAAACTTTTAAATGTTATGTGCAAAATTATTACATTATAATTCCCTTGAGTCCTTTCTAGTATACATTTTTTTCCTCAGTTTTCTCGCTGAAAATATCTTAGCTATATCCACTGTCTATTGCTGCCTCTTTACAATTTTAACCCCTTGCCGTCTTTCTCATTATATCATATATCTATTGATCTATCTATATACCTATCTATCTTATATTTATTTATCTATCTGTATACCTATCTATCTGTTTATCTATTTATCTATCTATCTATCTATCTATCTTTCTATCTTTCTATCTTTCTATCTTTCTATCTTTCTATCTTTCTATCTTTCTATCCTTCTATCTTTCTATCTTTCTATCTTTCTATCTTTCTATTTATCTATCTATCTATCTATCTATATATATATATCTATCTATCTATCTATCTATATATATATATCTATATCTATATCTATCTATATATATATCTATATCTATCTATCTATCTATATATATATCTATATCTTTCTTTCTTTTGCTCTGTAAATCTCTCTATAGTTACAATTCTTACTCATGCTATATCCTTACCTCTCTTTTCATCTCTATATTCTTTTATAGTTTAGTTTCTGTCCCTCTTTCTGCCTCAATCTTGGTATCCCTTCTTCCATTATAAACTTCGTATCATTCTATGTGATTTTCATTTTGGAATATCTCTTTAAATGTAACTATTTCAACAATATATTAACTATTTTTATGACGATATAATTTCTTAAATAAGAAATCACAATTGGTGTGATTCGCTAATGATGACTTCGTGGCTGTTCGTTGAACTAGTTACCTTCGCTGAGCATTAGCAGAAGTACGTAATTCGATTTCAATTATACGCATTTAGTTCGAGGCGATTAAGCCACATAGCGTTAAGTGCGCAATTGCTAATGAGTTTCTTTCGTCAGTTTAGCTGCTCGTCAATGTCATCTGCGTTCAGCTAATTAAAACATAAACTGTTCCCGCAGTCAGCTTCGAGTGTGTTCGCAACCGCTTCGTCCCGGCACACGCAATTACATGGACTTAAGTTAGTTGTTGCCAGCAACTGATTAAATTTGAGCCATTTGCTGGGTGTTTGGGTGGCTGGACGGTTGGCTGTTGGCCTGACTGGTTGACTGGCTGGGTAGGTGGCTTACGCAACGCTTACAAATTACGCTGCTCGATCCCAATTGCCTACAGCGTGAAGGCAACCAAGGTCTTTGCTACGCTTCAATGCGCTTTCAACGCCCGCCCCAAAGCCGATTTCATTAATTATTCAGGACACCGTTCGGTCCAGTCTCCAGCTGCCTGCTGCCAGCAGCAATCTTCTGTATTTCATCCGATATCCGGACAGCTCCAGCTGCAACAGATTTTTAGACGAACTCATTAACTGCCACTTTTTAACTATGTCAACTGAAGCCCACTGATGTCCATTGTTCTAGTCAAAATATATATATGTTTTAGATTATCGCATGAGCTACGCTTGATGGACTTGCATTAAATATTTTTCAGTTAAGAGTCATGCTCAATTGGATTTCGATAAAGTTATCAAAGGCTACGAGTTTAAATTTAAATTCACATTTCAGTTAGCTTAGTCGAAGTTATTTTTGTAACTAAACTTAGCTGGATTAGAAGCAATTTAGCAATTGCAATTTAATTAAAATCAAGGGACCAATTACAGCATATTCTAAATTTATAAAACTCATTAGGCAATTTGACTTCTGGGAGTCACTGATTAATAAATTCCAAAAATAAAATCAAAGCTAGAAAGACGCACATTCATATATATATATATATATATATATATATATATATATATATTATATATATATATATATATATAATATATATATATATATATATTATATATATATATATATATATATATATATATAGCCGTCTTTATATACATACATTTTATGTTTATATATTTAATTACATATTTCCGGCTTGTCCAGACCATGAATATCTCTCAATTTGGTTGCTGCCCACATGTCAAATAAGCTGCAAATTTCTGTTTGCCAACCACCAGAACAAATTGTCAACGCAAATTTCAGCCAATAAACCACCCAAAAATATGCGAAATATACAATTGCTAAAGCTATTTTACTATGCTGCCCGCATACGATTCTATTTCGCAAGGGAACAAGGATTTCATCGCACGCCTCGCTCATAAAATTCAAACAAATCTCACGCACAGCATCTGCCCACGCATCAGTATACAGTGCGTTTCGTTTAGTTAGTATATATATTTAATGCATGAGTAAATGTGTTTTAGCATATGAATGGGGATTTCAGGTCCATTAAATGTAGAGCTTATCAGATACGAATACAAAATGAACAGTGAGCATAATGTAGACAAAAAACACATTCATTGTGTAGAAATATGCCACTTATATTTTAAATGTTTATCGAAATTAATCGATTCATGGTTAATATCGATTTGTCACTTAATTAAACTGACGAAATGGTTCGTTAGCTAATTAGACTACTCTATATGCTTGACTTGACGTTTATTATATTCTAAAAAAGAAAATTATTATATTTAAAGTTATCGATAATAATCGATATGCGAATTGATGGACAATACGATAGACTTTTAACGAAGTAGGCAACTTTATAAGCTTCAAATGTTAGACTTGTTAAAATTCTTATTAATATAAAAAGCTATCGATATTTATCGATCATTAATTCAAATAGTTCTTATTTTAAGAAAAAATTATTTTATTTATTTTGTACTATTTAAATAGTCAGCAAAATTAAAGCTATCTAAAATCAATTCTTGATAAATATCGGTAATTATTATATAACATAAAAGTTAACGATCATTATTTATGTAGCTAAATCTAAGTATATCAATATGTGTTTCTTATCAGTAATGCAAATCTTTTGCTCTCAATGGTTTACTCAAATCTGAAACATTACCAAAGAACCATTAAAAGCCCGTAAGAAAACAATATATTGCGAGCATGAACCATTAAATACCAAGTGCTGGCCGCCTCTTGAGCCAAATTAAACTTGGCAGCGACGGAAGCAGCTATAAAAGGTTGCAAATTGCATTTGACATTCGTTTAATGAGAAATGGAAGCTGTTGATAAGCAAAAATGCAGTTTGAGGTCGACTCTTGCTGCCGCAGCAAGTTGCCGCTGCTGTGCTCTGCCTGCTATCAGTTACGCCCCAGACCTTGGACTTACGCTCATAATTAATTACGACCTCGCGTATATATATAGATATCTATATGTATATATGGTAACAAATGCTAGATAGCTGCGGACATGGCACAGGAAGTGCTTCACTTGGCTTTTTCCTAACTTTTGGTGGCTGTCATTAGTCAATTTGTTGTTGTTTTTCTTCTGATTTTTTCCTGTGGAAGGGCTCAAAGTTGATTTTGGTTTTTTTCCAGTTCTTCTAATTAAAAGTTGCGGTAAATTTTTGCGGTTTAATATTTACCTTGATATATGTTTGTTTGTTTGTTTATTTTGCTATCCTTTAACCCCTGCACTATTTGGCATACCTGTTCGTGGTTATGCAACACAATTTGTGTGACGCAAAAGTGCAGGCTGTGCGGCTTTTTGTCTCTCGTCTATTTGAACTGTGTCATGTGGCTGCTTGACACATAAGCCCGAGAGCTTTTCTATAAATAATAAAACGAGATTTTAACTATATTTGCTTGCTGCACATGCATTAAAAGTGTTTGAACTTTTCTTTTTTACTAAAACTGCTTGATAGCTAGCTGACATTTGAGAGTAAAGGTTACGCTTGCAAGGTTGATGTCAATATAGAATTTCTAATGCATTTATCTATCAGCATTTTGCTACCATCCACTATTAGCTATCAGCTCACTGTTGACTGCGATTTTGGATTTATTTCATAAAGTTATCAAAGGGGTTCGTAAAAATAACAAATATTGTCCACAACTCCTAAAACAACTCTCGCAGCTGTAAGTGTATGCTGTGCTGTATATCGGCAGCTGATAGAATTTTTGTTACCTGCATTAAAAGCAGTTTTTGTGCTGGCGCCAATTTTCCATTGTTTCCACTATAATTCTCTTCTTTCAGAACTTTTTGCTGGATATTTTTTTTCATGCTTCGCTGCTGTCCATAAATTTACATTCGCTGTAAAGGAAACAAAAGAAATTTTAAATTTTAAAACAAAAAAAATACGAGAAGCAGAAAGATATTATGCTAGGAATAACCCGTAAATGTAATTTCTAAATTTAATAACAAGTAAAGGAAAGAACATAAAATTGTGGAAAAATTAGTTAAATTAAAAATTAGAATAGACTATAGTTAAATCTGAATCAAATTTTGTTTCACAATAAATTAAAATTAAAAAGTTCAAAAATTTTATGTTCAATTTTTTTATATCAAGATATTCGAAAAAATAAGAAAGAAAACTAAATTCTTTTACTAATTGATTTTCACTGCTTTTCACACTTAATCTCTATTTTATTTTTTTCAGCTTCCCGCCAACTACGCCGTAAAGTGCCATACGCTGGCCATTTGATGACGCCGCGTCGCCTTTGGCTCAACAAAATACCCACACAATGCGATGTGGTCATTGAATTTCCAGAGGATGCACCAGATGAGGCATTGCGATGGCTCTTAGCCCGCATACGCTCGCAGCCGCCAGCTGGTCTCGGTCTGTTGGTCCAGGTCAAGGCACACGACAGCTCCAGACGCAATGCATTCTATGTGAGCGCTCCAGTTAATGTGTAAGTGGGGAGCATCGGCCATTAAATTTATTAAAATAAACTTTACCTTAGGCAGATAAGATATAAAAATTTGTAGATTAAATTTAATGAAATACAGGTGTTAGCTACCTCTTTTACAACCACAGCAGATCAACTGCTCAAATAGCACAGATTTGTCTAGAGAAAGGTTAAATTGATGGCACTGCTAGATAACTGGTATAACAAGCAAGCGTGCTCTAGTAGGGAGTGTCCGACTAGGAAATATCCTGAACCCTGTACAGAGCTGGTATTTCCATCATTCTAGCATACGCGTTTCTAGCTTTTGTGCTCAAACACAGCCAAATTTAAACTCTTTGAGCCAACTTAGTTAACATCTATCTAACATCCAATTAACTCTTATTTCCCGCAGCCTCTTCAAAGCCGCTGAGGAGGCACGTTTGCCGAAACGCTTACGTCCTGATTTGGGCGGCGCTTTGCGTGAGTTCACGACTCGCGAGAGTCATTGCTTTCAGCAGTTGCGTGGCGATGTAGGCAGCACGGCGCTGTTCACCTCACAGGAGCGTCAGTGGCTGGTGCTGCAGGTGTTGCAGGGCCTGCGTGCCGGCTGCAGCGATATCGATGCATTGCAAGGTCGCGCCGCTGTTGCCGAGGGCCAAAGCATTGTGGCTGCTTGGCAGGAATCGGGTCTAATCACACAGGTTTTTCCGCTGCATGAGACACGCTCGCTGGCACAGCTGCAGACGCACTGGGTCAAGCAAATATTTGCGCCGCAGCCATTGGGTAATAGATGCATAAAGCATTTTTCTTCATATATATTTGCATATGTTAAGCATATTCAAATGTCGTTTCAGATGACATCGCAGCCTATTTTGGCGTTAAGGTCGCACTCTACTTTGCCTGGCTGGGGCATTATACGTGCGCGTTGGGCGTGCCCGCCGTCTTTGGCACCATACTTTATTGCATATTGTGGGGCAAGGGTCAGACGGCTCAGGATATGGGCCATGTGCTGTTCTCCCTGTTCAACGTGGCCTGGGCCTCGCTGTATCTGGAAGCCTGGAAGCGTTATTCCGTCGAGCTAGCCTTTCGCTGGGGCACGCTCTCAACGCCGCCCGAACTGCTTGAGCCGCCGCGGCCACTCTATAAGGTGTGAATTGCTTGAAGCACAAACTGACAATTGAAATTGAAAACGAAATTTAACTTTTTTAAGGGCCCGCTGGAGGAGAACAATGTGACGGGCCGACTGGAGCCGAAGGAGGCGCCCGCCTGGCAGCGACGAGCCTTTCGCTATCTGGTCAGCTTTCCTGTGATTGGACTGTGCCTCTGTGTGGTCTTTGCCGTTATGTTTCTCATGTTGCGCTTCCAGGTGAGTGGAGCTTTGAATAAAGTATATTTATATAAGCTTAGTTTTCGGTTCGCCGACTGCTAGAATTTTCTTGCAAGCAAAGACGTTGAGAGGAAAAGAGAGCAAAGCCAATATTATTTAAATTTTAAAACAAATCAATTTTGAAATGTAAATGGAAATGTTAATTGTTTTATTATTTTAAATAAGCTGAAAAGCTGAAATTATTAACATGTGCTTGTACTTTGTGTTTAAAGTTTGATCTTTAATATTTCTGTATATTTTTTATTTATTACTTATACGACACATTGTACTTATATAAATCAAATTTTGAGTTTTGCATTTAAAAAATTATATCAAAATAATTCTAAATATATAAAAGTTAGTGCTCGCTGTTTCTCTGTCTTGCCTCTCTCTCTCTGTCTCGTACCTACTAAAGCTCTAACTGCAAGGCTATTCGCTATTTATTATTATATATATTTTGACATAGTTCCTTTTACAAAAATTTACTTGGTTGTTACACAGTGCGTATAATTAATATTGTTTTACATTTTATGACAAATCCTATTACCTATCCGCTTAAGCTGCCTGTGTGGGTGGTCGAGTGGTTGTGTGTGTGTGTGTGTGTTGATTTTAATGTCTTTTGTGTGTGAGGGAGCGTGTTTATCAATTTGCTTAACGGTATCCTTTCGCATTTCATTAGCGAGCGCATTTGTAGTTGTTGTTGCTGTCGTTAACGCTTTTACGAGCACACGCATATAAGCACCTGCACACACGCACATACACACGCACACACATCTATTTTGTTGGCTTCCGTTTGCTTTTTGCTGCGCGCAGGTTTTTTGTCGTTTTTTTATGTTTTTTGCTTGTTTTTTGCATTGCAACAAAAACCGAAAAAAATATTTAATACCGTACGAATAGAAATAAAATACAGTAAAAACGTTATTTATCCATACATCACGCCTCATTGAATTGTTTTCTTTCTGTTTTTGTTTTTCTCTTTTCCGTTCGTTTGTTGTTTCTTTTTCCACAGGATTGGCTGGATCATCATAAAATACCCGATAGAGGAATTGCTCAATGCATGTATAATTTGCACAAGGTTTTTATTGATTTCATTTAACTTTTATTCTTATTACGAATAAGCATTTTTTTCGCTCACACGTCATGTTGTAACTGTTATTATCATGTCACAATACTTACACGCGCGTAATGCATAAAACAGGGCTTAACACGAATTTTATGCGCTCACATTTTGTGGTATATTTTTACGATTACCTTTTTGGAGGAGGGCGACTTAAATTTGATAAAATACCTGAGCATATGTTGAAGGAATTTGAGCTTAAATTCTGCTAAATTTTTATATATTTTTTGCCTATTTGTAGTAGCATAAAACTCAACGGCTTAAGCTCAAAAGCTGCTCCGAATCTCTTGGGCTCAGCGCAGCCTTTTTAGGTTCCTTTTCTAACGACAAGTCACAGCTCAAACATTAACTTTTTTAATATGTTATATTAAAGTGTAATTAGAATGCACCCAACATATTGCACTTGCCGTCATTCATTATGTCACGTTCTTTGTGCGCGGCTTTTGTCAACGAGCTGAAACATAAATTATGAAATTCAGTTGGCAGCTGGGCTAACTACCTGCTTACAACAAGCTGCTAATTAAGTTGAAAATTATGCAACAATACAAAAGAGACGAACACGTGCACACTCACATGTCCAGAACAGACACGCCAACCACACACACACACACAAACGCACACTCACTCGGAAGTGCTGGCAGTTTAAAAGCGCAAACCGCTTTTGTTCTTGCGTAAAATGTGAGCCAGGTTTGCTGGTAAATGGTTTCATGCATTGTGCGAGTGTATCATGAATACCCTGTAAATCAGCTGGCTAAGAGGTATATTCGTTTTGGGCAATAAGTACGACTGAAAGCTCGAAATGTAATGTTAAAGTCTTGTGAATAGTTTTAAATGAAATTTAATATGCGTGGAACTTTTTGTTTCAATATAGACTCTATGATAAATGTATATGGGCTGCAGCCAATACAGGGTATTCTTATAATACCTAATCAATATCCAATATAATATTAATTCATGAAATATTTTATGTCCTTCATAGAATAACTATGTTATATCACATCACAGTTAAGAGGGTATCCTATAGCCTATAACCCTTTAAACTTGAGACGTACCATACTTGAAAGGATATCTTATAGTTGATAATTCCTGACTTACTGCAGTAATAGTGAAACTTTTGCTGTATCTAGGCTAGACTGTGACTGTTTATAAACATAGCATACTTTAGAGGGTATCTTCTAGTTGATAAAACTTAAATTTTTGTGAGCCTAAAGTTGAGACAGATTCTATAGAAATCAGTGTAGACTAGACTTAAATAATTTTCATATAATTATAGCTGAAAGTGCTTCAATATGTCCAGCATTGCTATGAAAATGTGGCTCAACTGCTGCAGTAGGTCGAACTATAATAAACTAATTAAAATAATAATAATGTCTCAATTTAAGTAGTATCTTCTAGTCCATAATTATATGTTAGTGCCAGCAATTGAAGTGGCTTTTAATTGTCGCGAGTTAGCCCAAGAGAGGCGGAGATATAGCGCAAATGTCTGTTTGATCTCACGCCCCGCACAGCTGTTCATGAAAAGCAACTCTCACAACGGATATATATCGTAATGGAATCAAATTAAGCTTCAATTTGATAAATGAAGTGTTTGGGTGTGTGAAATAATTGACCTGCTGGCAAAATGAAATGATGTATTAAACGAGCGCCATCCGCTTTGCCACGCCCTTGCTCCCTATTGGTAATAAGTTGGCTTAATTTAGTGTAAATATGCACTCATTAGTTTTATAGATGTATATATATATTTGATTTGGTTTTGTTGCGTTAGGATTGGTGGGACTCGAAGCTGCCAGAGGACAGCGTCTTGTGCTGCCTGAGTGTGATACCCAAGGTGCTGCTTGCTGGTGCGATTACCCTGATGGATGAGGCCTATTTCAAGCTGGCCGTTTGGCTTAACGACAGAGGTAAGATTTGCACATATAATATTCAAGCATATATTACAATGTCAGCTACTTTTCATCAGAAAATTATCGCCTGCAATCGAAGTACGAGAATCATTTGATAGCGAAGGTTGCGCTGTTTCAATTTGTCAACTCGTTCCTTTCGCTCTTCTACATTGCCTTCTATCTGCGCGACGAGGACAAGCTGAAGGAGGTATTTGCATGAATTTGATATCTGTGCAACTTTATATTTTGAATATGCTCTTTTTTCTTTAAGCAATTGGCTGGCTTGCTTATCTCGCGTCAAATCATTGGCAATCTACGCGAATCGGCTATACCGTATGTCCTGGAGCAATGGAAACTGGCCAAGCTAAGCTTTAATATGTGGGGCGCTCTTAGCCCCACACAACATGTAAATCGCAGTCTCGCCGAGGAGCTGGCCACCGCCGAGGAGAAGCTCAAGGCTGAGGCATCTGCCACAACTAAAACTACAGCAGAAGAGCAGCAGCAGCAGCAACAGCAGCAGCAGCAGCAGTCCGCTAATAAGCGTAACATTGGACAAGCTGAGATTGAGAGTTCTCTATATAAAGTAAGAGTTATACAGAAACTTTTGCTTAGATTTGTATTGTAATTAATAGATGATAGGGGAAAGACTTAAAGAATGTATAGACTCTTATGGTTAGAATTGTATTGTTATGAATAGATTATATAAGAAAGGTGTTTAGAGATATAAATTATAAAATGTATAGAGACTATTGCTGGAATGTGTTCTGTAAAGAAGAGCTTATAAGTGAAGGAAGTTTAAGGACGTTAAGTAAGCGATATATAAAATCTTTTGATTAAATTTGTATTATAAAGAGTGTAGAATACACAGCTCTAGAGATTCTTTGCAAACTAGAATTGCAGATCGTTATGAATGATTTATGAATAATTTATATTGCTTTGTTGGTACATAGAGTCAAATTAGAAGCTGATTCAAATATATTATTGAATTCCTTAAAGAAAAAGATTTAGTTCTTAAAAAAGTTAACTAAGCTTATGATAGTCAGTTGCAAAACTCATATTTATATATATTTATTTATATTTATAGTCTAGTATATATTGTGCATATGATTATAAGTAAATGAAATGACTCTTGTCAAACCTATCTCAAGCATATTTCTACCATTGCAGTACGACGGCACGTTCTCGGATCACTTGGAGATGCTGGTGCAAATGGGTTATGTCGTGCTCTTTTCAGCTGCCTTTCCGTTGGCCGGCATTTGTGCGTTAATTAACAATCTGATGGAGATACGCTCGGATGCGTTTAAGCTGGCGCATGTGCATCAGCGTCCGTTTGGGCAGCGTGTGGCCAACATTGGCACCTGGCAGAATGCGCTGAGCATTTTGTCGCTGGCCGCGGTTATTGTCAACTGTGCACTGATTGGGCTATCCGGGCAGGTGTCGCGCCTCTGGCCCGGCCTGACCACAGCGCAAACTATAATTTTAATAGTTACACTCGAGGTGAGGGCAAACGGCCAATATTTTATATATTTGCGTATACATAAAGATTTCATGAATTTCGACTGTTTTATGTGCAGCATATTATGCTGGGCTTGCGGCAGGCGCTGACTTGGCTGCTGCCGGAATTGCCCTCGTGGTTGGCGGCGGAAATAGCACGTGCCGAGCACTGTCGCCGTGAGATGCAGTGCAAGGGCACCTCGCCGCGACCCACGCCGCCGACACCGCCGTCAACCACATCCACGCAGCCGGAGCAGGAGGGCACTGGCGCCGAAACCACGCACGATCAGTCCATGGAGAGTCAGCTAGCTGAGGATATGCTGCTCTATGGCCACGAGTTGGGTGCCAGCTATGGCCGCAGCATTGAGGCGGATGTAAATATATATGCGAATCGTGACTCTTCGCCAGACTCGCCGCCATCGCAGGTGCGTGCAATGCGAACATACTTTCTCCATATAGTATATATACTTAATGACTTTCAGACCAGCACCATACTCATAAGACCGCTGCATGAATCAACACCGCCGCACGGTGGCGCCTCGCTGAGCAGTCTGCATCACGATGGCAATGGGTAAGGGGCTAAGCTGTTAAGTATTTTGCACACGCCAAGCTAATTAAGACCCATTCAATGGCCGAATAATATGGCTGGCCTTACAAACACACACACACACAAAATCACATTGACATATATATATCTCAGACGCGCACTGTCAACGATCTAAGCATTTTTATATTATAAATATTTAATACTTTCTTATCATTAATTCCTTTTGCAATGGACTCTCGTCTTATTGTCATATTATGCATTTGCCCATTTTATTCATTTATTTTTCGATAACTTTTATAGCGCTTGTAAAAGTTGTAGGCAAAAATCGCAATTCTTTATACCGGAAATACCGCCATTTCTTGGATATTCGGTGCGCAATTTGAGTGCTCTGTCCCCGCACAGTCAGAGAATGCAACAACAACAACAGCTGCTTAGCGGGTAAATTGTGTGAATTAATTAACTTTAGATGTGTGTGTGTAAAGCATAAGACGCACACTACAAATTCCATTTGTGAACTTTGCTGTGCTGTGCTCTAATTTGTTGCTGTTTGTTGTTGTTTTCGCTTTCCAAAAAAAAAAAAAACCTAAACAAAATGTCTACAAAATTTTTAAACATTTCTCTACCAATTGGCCAAAATCTTCACTTTACAAGCTGCTATGTACATATATATATTTATATATTTCACTTGTTTACTATGAAAAGTAGGGGTATTCCTAACTGAAAATGGAATACCTTTGCCGTTAGACTCTTCTAATTTTCCACACTTTCTCTATATTTTTCTTTACTATTTTCTTTATCTCTCGCTTCTGATATGGCACTTTGCAGCGCTTCAGCTAGCACGCTAGCTCTGAACTCTGCCGCCGCCAGCTACGCTGCATCGATGCATATACAAGAAATACCGCCGTTCCGCAAGAAATCGAGCGATTCGGCTGATCAGACGGGCAGCAGCACAGGCAGCAGTCCACAGCGCGCATCGATGCGTCAACTGCAGCAGTTAACCCACCAGCAGCAACAACTACAGCAGCAGCAGCAGCAGTCAACTAGAATTGCAGAGATTCCGCCGTACAGCAAGCAGCGTAAAATATCCACAGAGAGCGCTACCAATTTGCCGCTGAGCGTAAGAAATAGCACTATATACATACTCACATATATATGTAGATATATATACATCTAGATATATATATATTTCAATACCATTAAATCTTTCCCTTTCACACAAACCGAATCTTAGCTAAACACACTCAACTTGTGCGTAGTTTGACAAACAGTCAAAAATCTCGTTACCTGACTGTAAACACCTAACAGCTCCCAACTACTAATCCTAGCGCTAAGTAGTATTATTATTTATTATTATTATTGTTATATGACAACAACTAAGCAGTGAAAAGATGCTTGTAACTCGATGTTGTGAGTAGTTGAATAGAAACTAGGCTTAATAATTGTAATTATTATTGTAATTGTGAGATTTAGCATAATCAATTAATTAGCCTAGAATTAGATTAATAATTAATATTAGATGTCTAGAACTTACAACTTTATTTAATGAAAATAAGTTTTATTATGTAATGTACGAGGTCTGCCCAAGAAGTATTGTGAGTTTCGAACTTCCATGCCTTATGTATTTACGATTTTCGATTTTTGATTTTTTTGTATGTCCTTATGTTGTCACTTATGTTAAAAAAAGTTCGAGTTTTTGAAGGCTCAATTCATTTTTGTCAGCTGAGTGCTGCAAAGGGTTCACTTTGATTTTGGTCTATTCCAAAAAATAATGTAGCTAAATCTAAATAATGTAGCTAAATCTAAATAATGTAGCTAAATCAAGACTAGCTATGAATTCTACTCGTTCCCAAACTGAAGATGAGAGGGCAATGCTTAGCTACGATTCAGCAGATAAAAGTGGCAACGAAGCGAAAGCTAAACAAAGATTTATTAAAAATAGATATTCCTGAGTAAATACGGACTTTTTTGGAAAATCAAAAAATTGGCGATATTTTTTGTTTTAGTTTCTTCATAAAGTAAAGTTTAATGGCCATACGCTAAGCTTTAAGCCTCGTTTTAATGAGCTGCTTGAATTTAGAATATATGCTTTTCTCGATAGAGATAAACATGAAGATAAAGAATGACTGAAATCTAGTTAAATAATTGTCATACTGTTGCATGCCAGATACACAAGGAAAATACTTAAAAGATCACCCAAAAACATATTTTAACTTATATAAAACATTACTAAATATGTATTTTAGGTATTCTATATTATAATACTAAACTTAATGCTATAGTATATGGACTATATTGCTCCATATATAGTCACACAATTCTCAGCTTACAATACCACACAAAAACCGTAAACAAATAAAGGTTACTCTAACAAACTGTTTACTGTTTAAAGGATAAACTACATATAAAACTTCACGCACCCGAGTGGATGTCACGCTTAAAAGTGAACGACAATGCGAACCTCCATAGAAGCATAGATTGTATTGCCAAGGTAGTGAAGAGCTGTCTAAACCGATATACATATATGTTAATCGATGTGCATACAAATTGGGTTCTGATACTGCCTGATCCTATATATATATATAAATATATATGTAAAGATATAAGCTGTTGTCATTGTTGTTGCTCTGCAATTGAAGCTTCATTTTGTTCAGAGTTGGACTCAATTTGCAGGCAGCCATAGTAGATGTATATATATATATCTGTATAATACTGAAGGTTTGAATGGGGCATGGCATTTGCTTTGTGTCACACCTAAAAATCAATTTCACGCTGGCTTCAAGTACTCATCAGCTCATAGTCTATGCATGAATCAAGCTTTAAGTGTGTGTGTAGTTGTAGTTTTAGTCTGTGCTATGAAAATCAAACTTAATCCTTCCTTTCATTCCGTATATATTCGAAACTCAAGGAGCTCGGCAACAATGCGGACAACTCCGACATATTGAAGCCGGCGCCATCCTGGAGCAATGTGGCCTTGAAGACAGGTGCTCCGGGCATTATGCTGGCCACGCCCTCAGCTGCTCAGCAAATTGTCGCTTCTTCATCATCATCATCGGGCGGCGGTGGCAGCGTTTTTAGTCCAAGTGGTGTGGGCCCAGTTGTCGCCGCCGCCGGCAGCAGCAGCGGCATCAGCAATTCACAGTCACGACCCAGTGTGGGCGCTTTATCCAATTCCTCATCGAGTTCATCTCATAAGCAACAGCAGCAGCAGCAGCAACAACAAGCGAAGCAGGCAAAGGAGGAGCGGGAGAAGGAGAAGGAGCAGGAACAAGCAGCAGCAGCAGCAGCAGCCACTGCATCCACATCCGCTGGCAATACAGATGATGAGACAAAGGGTGAGCTCTCTAAGCCCTTTGCATATATTAGGACTAATTATTCATTTACTTGCCAGCTGCTGAGTTGGCTGCCAAGAAATCGCGGCTCAAACAAAAGCTGGTTAAGAGCGCGCGATCTGTGGCCATATTCTCGCTCAAGCTTAAGGAACGCCGACAGCGCGAGGCGGAAAAGGCAGCCACAATTGCTGTGGAGCATGCCAAGGTAAGAGATTCATGAATTTCGCCAGCTACAATAACTAAGATTTACTTATATTACCTAGGCTCTAGCTAAGCTGCCAATGCCTCAGCCAGTGGGCGGTGAACTGTCTCTAATACCCATCGAGCATCTAATACAAATCGATGATATCAAACCAGCGATCAAGCCAGCAACAACAACAACAGCATCTGTTTCGTCGAGTACACAGGCCGGCTCCTCTATGCATTATCATCATCAGCAGCAACAGCAGCATTATCATCATACGGATAATTAAGCTAAACCAAAATGCCGAAAATTAGTTAAACTTAAAACGCACATTGTAAATAGTCTTTTCTATGCACATAGTACCCATATCTGGTCCATGTTTTAGAACGATCTCTCACTAACATATTGATGATATGAGCAATTTGCTGAATGTGTGTCTTGTCCAGAGTTGGAAGTAACTAAGTAATGTAAATGTATTTACTACTTAATACACTAACAACAAGCGACTAATTACCGAAAGTTATTAACTAAAACATAATATTTCTAGCAAAGCAAAAAAGATGAATATTGATATTTCAATGTTTTGAAGTCATATTTCACACTCACATAAATGTTTGTTAAAATTTAAAATTGAAAATCGAAAATGATAAAACAGTTGTGAAACGAATTTTGTTTTAGCGTTTTAGCGTTTTAGCCGTTACATGTTTTTTGCGTAGTTAATGTTCTTAGCGATAAACGAAAAACAAAAACCGAAATCAAAAATATTTGCCATTTGTTAAAACTTGATGTTACGCATTTCAGTTGCGATTACTTCTAACTAATATCTATTAATTAATTATGTGCTTAACAGAAATCTGCAATGAGTAACTATGTTTTGCGTCTATCAATCATTATTTCTGACTAACTGATACTCATTGAATTCGTATTATTATTTACAGCCTCACGCTGCAGCTCTCTCAATCATCCATCGATCAATAAACACAAACACAACGACAGCAATTGTGATGCCCAATTGCATTGCGCTCTGATATGTCGTCCATTGTTCCTTCCATATATATATATAAATATATATATACACGCATAATATATAAATATATACAGACAACAGACTTCGCATTCGTTTCAACTAAAAACATTAACAAATCTATTTACAAAGCAAATCAAATGCAATTACGAAAGCAATCCGAAAGATATTAAAACTATTTATGTTTAGTTAATGCTTCAAACTGAAACACACTCACACACACACCTATATACACAACTAATTCTACCTATGGATATTTGTACATAATATTTAGCATTTAAGATGTCAACGAGAAATTTACACGTGAATATTAAAAAAATAATTATTAAATGTGCTCTTGAGTTGAAAACTAAAAAAAAAAAAACAAAAAAAATATAAATTAAACAAAATTAGGTAATGCAAATTATTTGAAGAATCCTTTGATAAATATGTTTACTAAAAATTTAAGCTGCGATCTTTTAGGCTTTTAGCTGAACTTGAAGAGCAGCTAATGAGGTTGGCGCAAGTGTTGCATACTTTAAGGCGTTGCATAAAAATTCTATGGCAGGATTCCAATGTTTTGAAAGGTGAAAAAGTGTGAATGCAAATAAAGTGAATGTGATAAGAAGTAAGAAAAAGAAGGTATTCAAATTGTGGGTAAGTACAAGTGCAAGTCTTTAATTTTAATGATTTAGATAATATATTATTATGTTATAAAGAAGTATTATTCTTTATACGATTGAAAGGAAAGTAAATGAAATGATTTGATTGGCAATTGATTGATTAACAATTAGGCTAAGACTTCTTTGTTTCTCATTCTATTTCCATTTATTTATTTAAAATATTCTTAGTATTTATATCTTTAACAATGTTAGCCATTTTATTATTTCTAATTTTTCCTTTAACTTATTTACGAGTGAAGAGTATATTGGTTTTGTGCACTGTGCATTCATTTTGGAATATTTACTATATACATTTATGCCTATATCTGATGAAATTTGTTATCCCACTAGTATATACGACTCTTCTATACCGTCACCAGATAAAAATATCATTTGTATATAGATGAGCTTTGGGAAAATAGTAGCAAATTAAAAAAAAAACTATTTATTTTAAAATCAACTTAACAGTATACTAGGCTAGCTGTAGCTAGTCTATACAGATATATATGCATTATATAGGCTATATGCTTCGACAGGCTTGGAAACACTTTGACCATTTTAAACTCTGATCGAGTACTTTTCTTACTTTATTGATTGGGGTTTAATTTTTATGCGCATAAATTCGCAATATATCATATTGCCATATCAAAACACAACGAAAATTTCGAGCTTTAAACATTTTCGTAATATACATTTTATAACCCATTCCTTAAGGCAACGAATTTATCATATAACACACACCTGTCATTCAAGCCATTATACATCGTGCATTTGTATACATATATATATATGCATATATATATATATATATATATATATATATATATATATATATAGTGGCTTATCTGTATATGTTCGTAATGGCTGTCAACTCGTGCGCCTGCCCGACTGCTGGGCAGGGGGCCTGAAAGCGCGCGCGCTAATTAGCGGTACGTGCGGAGTGCGTTTTAGCAGGCGCTCGAAAATATAGAATATGGACCTGGTAACTGAAGTGTGTGGAGCCTGAAGCTGGGCTCTCAAACCTGGGGGCATTGCCGGCCAACTCGAACGACTGTGACGGCTGAGATCGCTGAGTTGTGTTATCAATGAATTCAAATCAGCAGACATCAGACATCAGACAGCGAACAGCGAACAGCTCACCTGTAACAATGACATGTGTTGCTGTTGCTGTTGCTGTTGCTGTTGATGAGAGCGTGCAATTGTGACCCCAGTGACCGCATCCACAGCCATGGCCCCCCTCTTGGTGCCCGCCTTATGGTGCTAAGCTATAAAACAAAATGAGAAATGTTGTTGCAAACCAAATGGCAAGGAGACATAAGTGCACTCTGGTCGAGTGTGCAAATACCCTGTAGGCAGTTAGACTAGAAAAATTTATTCTAGAGTTTGAGCTTACACTGAATAGAATTTATTATGTATAATAATAGTTCAAATAGTTCACAATAGATGCATAGTTGATATTGTTTTATATATATATATATATACATATATATAGGAATATACGTATGTCATATCTTGCTCGTATTTTCTATAGATGAATTCAGAACCCGACACAACTCCATACATAGATCATTTTGCTGCCTTTTTAGGTACACACTCAATATACACCTATTTAACTATTTCCATCAAGTATAGGGTATATATTGCATATGCTTGTAAGCTGGCACTAGATGCCCTATTAGATTTAAACGTAATGATTAAACCGTTTCCAGTGCGTGTGCAATCCATTTGTTGATCTTGTTGTTGCTGGCATCTGGAAAACTTTCAACTGGCCAATGATTATCCTTGACCCGCGGTCTACGCTCTACTGCAACAGACAATGTGTCATTTTAATAGGCCGACATTATTCACAGTTGTGTTTGAGTTAAGCTCAGTTCAGTTCGGTTCAGTTCGGGTAATTAAAAACACTTGTCTGATTCAAGCATTGGAATTTTACAGCAGGTCTACTGCGACGACAGCGATATGTGCTATAAGTACATTTCTCATGGAATAAACGTATTCAGTAGCACTTTCTAATTTCATATAAATTATATATTTTATATAGTTTATGATTATTTTTTCAATTTCAATTCCACATTTCTTGTTCGATATTTATTTTGGATATTCAAGATTGAGCGTAAAATATTTTAAATATTTTTTTAAGTTTAGAATGACCTAAAAATTAATAATGAAAGTTATAATAAATAAATACAAATTAAATAATTAAATATAATAAAATTAATCAATAATAAAATCAATATAAAATCATTTATGACACAGTTTCAAGCATAAAAAATATATATCATACTTAGATATAAAATATATCATCTTAGCTTCAGTTTATATACTTTTTTTACCTTAAACAAATAACACATTTTCTTCATTAGGAATGGAACCTGAGTCTCTACAACAAAATACGACTTATTCAGCGCCTTATCGAAAATTTAAAAAGTTATCGATTATTTGAAGCAAACGTAAGCTGAGCGTGCTAAAGCTATAGACGCTAGGTCTTAATATTCGGAATGAGACGAACAGAAGGACGTACGATGGAAGACGGTCAGAGTCACGGATCAAGAGCTTATATACTCTATGAAGTCTACCACGCCCTCCTCCATGTTGCTATCAAACCAATCCCATTTTTAAAGGTTATATCAAAAATTTTAATTTTTCGAATTGAAACTTAATTATGGCATAAAAATAATTAAACTTGTTTTTTTAACATAACCATTTATGCTTTTAAAATAATTAAAAATTCTTTTTAACATACCCATTTTTATGCTTTCTTAATTTTAAAATATTTGTTTTTGAATATAAAATTGTTTATCATCTTGTTTATTAAAAGAAAAAATTACTTTTAGCTATCTTTAAATATATTTAATTTTATATAAAATCCATTAAGGAAGATTTAAATTTTTTGGATATTTATATGTACTCGTAGACTTATATATGCCAAGCATTTCTCTAGTATATTTTATACAAACAGCAGTTGTTTTTTCTTAAACACATTTGAGACAAATTTCCTTTGCTGTAGCTAAAATGCAATCGCTTTACGCTTATCCGCAGCATCTCTTTCACCCGTTTGATTAAGGTCAAGCTACTCTCCTCTTCTGCTTCTTCTTTGAGCGCTCTGTTCACCGGAAATTGCAGCGAAGCAGTTGACCCAAACAAAACAAACGATGGGCCATAAAAAACAACAAGAGACAGATGAGGAAAAAAACTGTACTCAAAACTCTAAGATAAATCTGCAAAAAATGGAAAAAAATCTGCAGAAAATAAAAAGAAAAATTAGCAAACGGCGAACCGAACCAGGCCCAAGCAAAACAGCCAAAACTCATGTAGGAAACCATAACGAGCTGATCTTGTACATATATTTATATATATATATATATATTTAACTGTGTCTAGAGATCAGCACATGATGAGCGAAGGCTGACCACTTGAACATGATCCACGAACGATCATTGCGAAGATCATGATCATGTTGAAATAGCACCAAAAAAACAGAGTTGAAGCTTTATGAGCGATATTACCGTAAGATAATGAAAACTGTGGGGCGTTGGCTGTTTTTTGGGTGAAATCTCGTTGCCAGCAGCGGCAGTGGCGGCAGCACCTGACCCGAAAATGTTTCACATTTGCCCAGTTACAGTTAAACGCCATTTTTTCCGTTGAATTTGTGCTCGTTAAGCAGCGTCAGCGTGCGTGAGAGCGAGATGGCAAGCGTCTCTTTTCTTTTCGTTTTCGAACCACAATTTCAGCTTTAGCTACAGCATCTGCTTCAGCTTCAGCTTCAGCTTCAGCTTCAGCTTGAGCGGCGACTTCAACTCGAGCTGGTTGCCCATTCGGTAGCAGTCGAAAAGAGTTTTTTTTTTATTTTTGATGTTGGCCTCAAAAATGAAACATGGCCAC